AACTGCCGATGCTCCCCCGGCTTGGAGGCGATCGCATAACCAATCGAGGCCTGCTCCGCCGAAGAGTGCCAACGAATGACCGTACCATCCAAGGGGTTCGTTGCCGGAGATTGTTCCTAGGTGAGGACTTGAAATAGATAAATGTTGGGTAGGGGAACCCTTTCCAATCAAACGGCGTAAAGTTAATGGAGATTAGAACTTCTTGCCGATATGGGAATTGATTCCCACATTCCCGTCAAGATAATGGGACACAGTATACCTTACCTGACCTTTTTACCTCCCTTGAGCATTCCACAATGCATTGATTTTGCTCCTCCAAGTCCTTTCATCTTTTTTGTCGTCACCTCGTTTCTAATTTTCGGTGGTTTTGGGCGAAGAGGGTAATGTGGTCTTTCTTTGGCATTATCATCTACCGGACCACTTCCGTTGTCGTTTATGTTGACAGGGGGGAATGAATGACATTATTCGCCTTCCCGTTCATCTCTCCTTGGTCTGATGATTGGGTCCGAGTGGGCTCCTTCTTGATGGAGGTTGTCAAAGCTGCGAGTTGCTGATCGTGAATCCTTTTTTTTCCACCCTCCAATCCGCTGTAGGGTCATTTGCCATCTCGAATTTGAAAGCCTTTCTTTCTGCCGAGCTTAGGGCATCCTTCAAAGATTTTGTTCTTTGTTCGCCACTGGATCATGAGTACTCGCGGGTTGTCCCTCGCCTGGATACCGTGTTGTCCCGAAGCAATTGCGAGCCGGTATCTGGATGGCTTCATCTTCTGAATGGTAATCATCGTCCGAACCCTAACCATAAGTCCCTCGTTGTAATGTCGGACTGTAGGTGAGTTAGTACCAGGGTACCAACGGGAATTGACTCGGGATTGTCCCTGTCGATGCCCTTTTGCTGGCCATGTTGAAATGTGACCTTTCGGGAATTCTCCTGTCTTTGACTAATCCTTGCTTCTTCGCGGAAACGCCCTAGGCCTTAGCTTCAGACGTTCCGGTGGAGATTTCTGTCAAACACCGAAATTCTCCTTGGGTTTGAGCAAGAAGCATTCGATAGCAACCTGCCTTGATTTATGTTGGCGCACGGGCACGAGACTCCATGCCTTGCACATACTTTTTTTGAAGATTTTCCCATCACCAAGCTCTATGTCAGCCTTCCAATCAGCTTGGAACTGAGCAAACCTATAGATGTTTGGATGTGCTCCTTGGTAAAACCATCATCCTCCAGATGAGTGTCTCCCCTTGGCATGGGATGTTTGTTAGTTTTCTCCAAAAGTGGCCCGTTTCATTAGTTTTTGTGAACATTACAAATTTGAACGGCCTCTTGTATTTCGACTCGCAAATCCGATGCGGTTCCGTGAATAGGGGCTTTCCCTTTCTCATCTTTGGTCGGGGGGATTAATTCGACCCCCATTTGATTTGAAAACTTGGTGACCTTTCAATGGACCAAGGCTCCTTGATAGGTACTTTCACCTCGATTCCCTGTGTAAGGGACCGAGGCGACCTTTCCCAGTGAACCTTTGGAGGTGAAGGGTCTGTTTCATACCTGACCTACCGGAGGGCCGGGGTAAGGGGAAACAGGAATTTTGCGCCCTTGGTGAAGGTTGGGCAGCAACTTCCTTTTCACTCTTTGTCTTGGGCGTTGGATTTCGCCTTCAGCATCCACATTTGTTTTGGATTGGCGAGTCTTGACCGCCTCTTCTTTCTGCCATCTCCTCTGCTTTCTTCAAGAGAGCTCGGGCATCGCAGGAGTGGCAATGCGCTTTTCTTGATTCTCTCTCAAGAGTGGAAGCGATTCTTGTAACACCGCACCCACCTTGTTTGTTTCCTGCTTGAAGAGGAGGCTGGTTTGTCTTCTGTTGCTCTTGCGTTGCTCGCTTTGAGATCTTCGCTAGCGGACCCCATCCATAGGCTCCAAAAGCCTTGGCCATTTGACGAGCAGACGTGTGACGGCCGCTTTGAGTGCCCTCCCCTTTTGATAATAAGCTGAGCGCTTCAGCAGCCACCTTCTTAGGGGAGGAGCCAAATCAGCGATCTTGACCACGTGGGCGACGCGGAGTCGCCACGTGGTGCATGCAAGCAAATGGCTAAGGATCTTGGTCTTTTGGAGCCCCGAGGGTCCCAACGAACGATTCTGGAGAAAGAAGCTTCTTTCGCCTACTTGGAGAGGCGGATCCTTGGAGGAGGAGGAAGAGAGGTATTTTTCGTACTTTGCTGGTCGAACTCGTACTCGACCTCGTTCACCGGATCCTTGGGAGGCCGGTATCGTCACGAACGGCGTCGGTTGCGATGCCGTTGCTCCCACCTGTGGTCCCAAGCTTGGTTTTCGGTGAAAGTCGGTGTTTCTTTGCTTTTGAATTCTGTTACAAACTTCAAACGTTACAACCAAGAATGCAACTAAACACAAAGATACAACTTTATCGAAAAAAACACGAGATCCGTTTGGTGCGGGTCTCGCTTGCGTGGGTCTTTGGCCTGTAACGGGATGTTTGTTTTCCGTGGACCACGGGGCAATCAGATCCCGGTCCGGAATAAATCGGACAGAGTTTGTCGATCCGCGTGAGATCTAAGAAACCTTCCTAATCCAGAAAATATTAAGGACAGAACTTCTCGATCCGCGGGAATCCTATAATTCTAGAGCGTATACTCGCCTAAAGCGAGTATTAGCTCTTCTTAGTATTAACTAAGGCTAAACAGAAAAGATGAAGAAACGGGTGATGAAGGCTTGATTTTAGACCTCTCCTCCTCGGTTGAAGTGCTCGATCCAGTGTTGCTGCAGCAGGGCCCTTCCGCCGAGGCTCTCCAAAAATCCAGATCATTCAAATGAGGTAAGGGGTCCTATTATAGGACAACCAAGAGGGGGGCGTCTGCACAGAATCTAGACACCCCAGGGGGTCCGCACAGATCCTGAGACACCCTTGGGGTGTCCTCCAAAAAAGTCGAGACACCCCTAGGGTGTCATCGGAATTTCCGAGACACCTTTGGGTGTCTCGAATTTCCGAGACACCCCTAGGGGTGTCCTCGAAATCCGAGAACTATGGGGTTGTCTCGGAAATCCCGAGACACCCTAGGGTGGTCTCGCTTTATCCGAAGAACACCCCTAGGGTGTCTCGGATTTTCCGAGACAACCCTACCTAGGGTTGTCTCGGAAATTCACGAGTACCACCCCGGTGGTTCTCGGAATTTCTGAGAACACCCCTGGGGGTGTTTCGGGATTCCAAAGACGTCCGTAGTGTGTTTGAATCGTTTTCCCCGTAGATTCTTCGTTAAACGAACTCGGATTTGATGTGATTCCGGGTGCGTGGATGCGTGAACGATAGAGTTCGATCTGCTCTGATGGTTTGGATGTCTCTTAGAGTTGTCGAGCACGTAGGCGTTGTCCTTTTTGGAACAGTGCCGGGCTTCCCAGATTGTCCGGGTTTTCGTGATTCCAAGTCCTATCTGCTCACGTAACTCGTCGATTCACTTCCAAGTCGTTCGTCGATGTCCGATTAGTTCATGGGATTGATGGTGACGTTCATCGTCGCTCGTTGACACTGAACCGGTTGTGGAGAACTATAGGCAATTTTCGATGCCTACAAGTTGGTCATAGCCGAATTGGCGAGCAAAGCGGCAAGGGAGATAAGGCTCTATGTAGCACTGATTCTTCACCCGAAGGACAATATATCCTACACGGATGTTCACTAACCATCGGAAGCAACCAGCATCAAGAAGGGTTCAGTCACTTCTAGGTTTCTCCTCATCAATCAGCGTGTCGCCATAGCGACCCGAAAAGTGAGGGAAACACTTAAAGAACTCCCAACTCTTGCGAACCCGAAGCTCTCGTTGAACATCGCTGAATTTGCTCCCAAGCCATCTACTCTGCTCCAACAGTTGCATGAAGGGGACAGGGATGTCAACAACGCTGGGTGCTGACATCAAGTCGGGACGGTGAAGAACGAACCACGCCATCAAATATGCGTAAGGGAGCTCAACCTTCGGACAAACAAGCTCAGCTGATGGTTCAGAACCCGTATGTGTGAAACTGCTGACCAGACCCCTAAGCCCGCAATGGATGCTAGCAACCATTGCTGGGAGCAGGGAAAGCTCTCTCCCATAAGCCAGCTGAACTGCAGGGAAGAGCACCTCGATGGGTAGAGCGTCAGAAGGTTGGTGCGGGACGACACACTTCTTCAACCAAAGGGCAAGGTAGCCTGCTAATAGCGCCCGGGACCCTATAGACCTCTGTGCGCGGCGGAGAAAAGAGCGAAACTTTGTCCCCGCGGGAAAAGCCCCCTCAGCACTGCCGATAGTGTAGGAACGAACCTCAGCTTTTTCCAACAACTCATTAACGGCCGAAGGAGTCATCACGTCTAATTCATGAATGGGCGCACTAGAATCACCCTCCAAGTTCTGAAACAAGTAGCTGGCAAACTGCTTCAAACTGACCTGCCTCTTCCTTCTCGCTTGAGGAGAAGTTTGGATCAAGGAAGTATAGTAGTGGCAAGTAAGATCCCAGAGTGTATCATACATGTCCGGAGTATCTTTCTTCATACACTCCAGCTGCTGGTTCGTAGGGAAGTACTCCTGATACGGACAGTCCCCCATCGGAAGACCCGAAACATAATGCATCTCGTGCAAGGCCAACCCTAGCTCACCTCCGCTGGTCAGGAAGGTGTTGCTATCGGGCATATAAGTCTCCAGCAAAGCCAAGAAATGGCGACAGCTGACTGGGATTCCGTACATAGTAGCTCGTATGGGTGCATACAACCCACTGCTCTTCAGATCCCTCTCCCAGCGCGCCAAGACGAAACCAGTCATGCGCGCCCACCACCCTTTGGCTAGGGAGGAAGCCCAGCCATAACATCTGTACTCCGATGGGGGTAACTGTCTCCCAAGAAGAGCCAGACGGTTGCTCACAGTCGGAGCAGCAGCTGACACCTCACCTGGGGGTGCAGTATCAAGACCCATAATCCCGGGTCGTAGACCACGCACGTCATGATACCCGTCAGAGCCAGGAGTCTTATGGTGAGTAGCATATCCGCATTGAACCCGATCAGCATCTTCAGTAAGATGCCAAGACATCTGCCGGTCCACGGCTTGCCCCTTCAAATGACTGAAAGAATAGTGGCGTGGAATCGAAGGGATGTACAAACAGGCTCCACCGTCAAGAGTTAACCAATGCTCCTCACAAAGAGTCAGCGTGGCAGGATCCCTGACATGATCTCCAAATAGAAAACCCGGCTTCTTTAGAACCTGAGTGGAAGTAGAATCAGGGGTGAAGGAGGCATCTGTGATAAGTTGGCGCAAGCAATGGCGCCCTCCTTCCTGTATCGAACGGCAAGAGTCATTTGGACGATCCCCGTCGAACCGAGGAAGTGGGCCAACAGCCTGCCTAAGAGTAGCAGAAGAGAAAACCTCCCGACTACATCCGGTGTTGGCGTGAGGAGGAAGGCTACCCGCGGGAAATTCCACTGCAATAAAGCACAAGGGCGGAATCAGAAAATCCATCTCGTAAGAAGAATGATAGACTCATCCACGGAATAATTGGAGAGACGATTTTGAGTGACCTACACCAGAAGGACGGCATGCGTCATCACGTGAATAACGTGGTAACGTACACCGACCTATAAGGTGTAGGACAACACAAAATCGCCCCAATATATCCGAAGACTTGAATTGGCTAAGCAAAACAAGTCTGAAACCTTACCCTCCGCGAGAGAGGTATCGGTTCTTCCTTCATGACCCGCAAAGAGGTCAATCAGGGATGTAAGACAAAATCTCTGCATAAATTCTCACCCCCGAAAAATGAAGCCGCGGGAGAGGATGTCGTGGGGACCTCCTCCTCACTATGCTGTGAACGAGAACGGCTCCTCCGGGGACGAGATCGACGCGGAGACATTGCAAATCTGCAACGAAAAGCAGCAAGTCAGGTACAATCTAAAACATGAATATACGAAATTTAAAAGGGAAATTAAGAACTTTAATTAAAATCCTATACACAAATAGGATTTCATAATTGAAGTCTAATTAAACCTACAAATTTCGTGCACGATGATTGTCATCTTTCACGGTGAATTTTGGTGAAATACCCAAAATACCCTTTGTGTTCAAGGCCAAAATCTAGGTCAAGGACACGCGTGACCCGGGTCATGATCGTCACATTCGATCATATAACACCCCGGTACCCCACAATTTTGGTTAAAATTTGCAAATGAGCCCTTTTGCAGAATTCAGCCAATTTTGCATAAAAGCCCCTCTACAAAATCTTGGTTTGGGCTCCACATGCCTTATCAAAATTTTGATCATGAGTTCGTGGTCAAAACTCATTGGATTTCAGCCATAAGTTCACTGCCTTTTGCAAATAAGTCCCTCTAAGACATTTATGGGCTGTTTTGCAAATAAACCCCTCCAACAACTTTTGGTCCTCTTGCCTAAAATACCCCTCAAGCTTGTGGCCAAATGAACATGTAATTTAGGTCCTAAACTTCAGTCCTCTATTACATGAACACCACCCCAATTCTTCGGCCACTTTTGCAAATAAGCCCCCAAAACTTTTCGGCCCCACATTTGCACATAAAACCCTCAATAAGGTATGGTCTTTTTGCATGAAACACCCATCCAAATTGTTACCAAAGGGGAATGAAATCCAAGCCTCAAAATTTCAGTCCCATTTTGCAAATAAACCCCCACGAATTTTGCAAATAAACCCCCCAAAGTTTCGGCCATTACCTCTTTTTGCACAAAACCCCCCGAAATAATAGTGCATACATGCCCCCTAGTCTACCACAAGAATAAAAATGCAACCTTTACCACAAAATAAGAGGATGGTGAAGAGGAGCTTACCCAAATCAAGAGGCTTGAAATCCCCAATCCAAGAGTCAAGATCCGAGCTTGAAGGTGGAGGGAGAAACCCTAGTGAAAAGTGAAAATTTTCGGCCAAGAAGGAGCATACAAAAAACCGAATTTCTTTGGGGTATGGAGCTCTTGAAAGAAAAACAATGGAGGAGGTTTGGAGGAAGAAGATGAATTCTCTTTTGAAAAGAGGGGGGAAAACAAAAGGGGAAACAAATTCAAACAAGAAAGAAAACAAAGAGGGGGGAAACAAAATGAAGAAAAAGACAAAAGGGGGGGGGTGGCTAGCCATTCTGGATGTTGCTCCTCTCGAACGAAGCCCGAGTCAATAAGCTTCTTGACCTCGGATTCGATCGCCTCCATCATTTGCGGACGAAACCGTCTTTGTTGTTGTTTGACTGGTTTGGCATCCATCTTGATATTGAGACGATGTACTGCTACGTTCGGGTCGAGTCCTGGCATGTCTTCATAATTCCAGGCGAACACGTCAATGTACTCCTTGATAAGAGAGATTAACTCTTCTTTCTCATCGGGTAGAAGACTATCGCTAATGAATATCGGTTTAGGATTTTCCTCAGTTCCCATATTCACCTGGAGTACTTGATCTTCGGTAGGAGGCTCTCTTTGCTCGAACCTATCACCATACTGCATGTTTAGGTGGTGAACCCAAGGATCTTCCCATGTTGGCATCTGGTCGTCTTCCTCTATTGCGGTAGGATCGACCGTGACCATATTTGACATCAACCTTTTGAACGTCTCGCCAAGGCTAGTGTCGGAACCCCCAGCCGAAGAGTCGGAAGAGTACCCGTTTCTAGCCTTGTTAGCGATCTGATCAATGATTTGCCAGCAACATTCGTCGTCGGATGAGGAGACGTAGCCGAGACCTCTTTTATAGCGATAATAATCATCGGGTTTTCCCTTCGGTACATAGGCCATTCGAGGTGGAACTCGTGGGCCTCGACCAAAGAAAAGACCTTCTCCGAGTGTGAAGTCATACCCATACTTTTCCATCATATCGCGCGCTTTTGCGTCATATCTGAATAGATGAGGAGCAGGTTTATCTTCATCTTCTTCTTCTTCTAAGAAGTGATCGGGTGTCGGAGCTTCTTTTCCTTTGCCGTAGACGACTTCTTTTCCACTCCATTTTCCCGCGGGGATGACAAGCGTCGCTCCGCATGGATCTTGTACCTGCTTTTTCGTCAGACAAAATGACTGAAGAGGCATATGCAGGTCAGGATTATCACAAAGCTCTTTAGTGACGTCATCAAGACACATCGAATACTCTAAATCATCGTTTATTGATAGTTCTTCGGCAAGTTGCCAATTACAACTATTCTCCGATGATTCTTCATCATCAAGATTGATTACAATGGGTACAATGTCATTAAGTACAAAACCACCATCGTAATCAAGCCCAGTTTCGGTATCAGCTTCATCTCCGCTGTCCGTTCCTTGGGCCGGTGATTCAGTATCGGATTCAGCGCCGTATAGAAGGGAATCGGTGAAATAGTTTTCCAATCCCTTAAACGGTTGCTTATCCGCGACCACCGTCTTGACTTCGTTATTCAAGTCTATGTACTTGAGGCATTGATGCAGAGTTGACGGAACTATAAGGTTACCGTGGATCCAAGGTCGACCCAACAGTAAGTTATAGGACGTTTCTGCATCGATGACATAACAAGTAACTTCTGATTTTAAATCTCCGATCTGGCACTTGATTCGGATCTTCCCCAAGGGTCTAGACCCGCTGGTGTTGAATCCATAAATCGTAGTGCCAGTGGAGGCTAATTTACTCGTCGGGATTCCGAGATGATGCATCAATCGGAATGGCATTATGCTAACAGCGGAACCCGGATCAACTTGGATCCGGTTGACCATGCTGGAGCCAATGTGCCCGGTGAAGTACAAGGGCCGATCATGCTTCGAGTTCTTTGTTTGCATATCCTCTTTAGTGAAGGAGATGCATGGGAAATGATGCGCCGCTAGGTTGCAATGCTGAGCTGATGGCTCTGGCCCTTCAGGGGATGGCTTGATCCGAGTTAGAAAAGCTTCTGAATCGCTCAAAGCCTCCTGTAATGCTTTCCTTGTATCCTTGGACAGGCGCAATAACTCGTAAAGGGTTATCCTAGCCGGGATATTGGCTAATTGCGCCATGATGTCGAAATGAGGTGGAGAGCTCGCATTCCCCGGTTTGTCTCTTCCAATCGGATGATTGAATCGAGACTGCCTCGGGTTTTGGGTCTCCTGGCGTAAAGGCTCTTTTCCTTTCTCCTTCTGTTGGACTCTTTCCGCGGCTATAGGCGTCGGGGGAATTGCTGCTATTCCCAGTTCTGCCAACGTTTTGGACGGAGGAGTGTTGGTACCTAATTGCTCGGAAGCATCCGGGTACTTGTAGTGGTACTCGTTCCCGCTCCGAGTGGCGAATGTTTCCTGCTCATCTTCAGAAAGTGGGAAGGCCGGAATTCTGTCATCGTCCCTTCCTGGAATAGCGGACACCCCATAACAAGATCTGCCTTTCCCTTTTGATTTCTTCTTGGAAGAGGTCCCAGTCCACTGTTCGTCTCCGATCAGATCTGGATGAACCCAAAGAATCTCGCCATTAGGGGCTGTGTGTGGCACGAGTCCTTTCTGGCGCTGCTTGTGAGGATCATCGTTCACCGTCTTCACTGCTGCTTTTATTACCGGCTCAAGCTGGAACTGGCTCACGGGAAAGGAGCCGAAGCCAATCGTGACTGCATTCGCACCCACTTTCTTCTCCTTTGGCTGCTTCATTGTGATGACCCCGACGTCGATGAGAGCCTGGATCTTGTCCTTAAGAGCATAGCATACCTTGGTGGGGTGGTGCACCGCTCTGTGGAATGCACAGTACTTCGGATCATTAATCCTCTTGGCATCTTCCTGATCCTGAACTGGAGGCAATTTGATTTTATTATTCTCCACGAGGTATTTGAAGATCCCAGGAACTTCGTCCTCTCTGAATGAATAAACTTTCGGGAACTTTGGCTCCGAAGCTTTCGGCCTCGGGGTTTGTTGTTGCCACCTTGGTTGTTGAGGTGCCTTTTGCTGCTGCTGCTGCTGCGGTTGCGCTTGCACCTCGAACGTTTGATTTGCGTTCACGGCGTTCGCATGCGCTTTTCCTTTACCCCTAGGGGTGAAGTTCGGTTGCGGAGCGTTATTTGGTATTTGGCCCCTTTCCGCCTTCTTCCTTTTGATGAATCGTTCGGCTCTTTCCCCTCGCACCTTCAGGTCCTTCCAGGTCTTTGATGGCGCCGTTCCCATAGATTCAAGGATATCCAAGGTGAGATTGTTGTGACAGGTCTCGAGGATGAAATCTTCGCTGACCGGGTCTCTGCAATTCATTGCTTTATTTCGAAACCTTTTCACAAAGTTTTCGACTGTCTCACCATTTTTCTGTTTCTCCTCAAACAGAGTGCTGATCGAGACCTCAGTGTCATCATCAAAGAAGTTCGTCAAGAACATGTCTTCCATGTCGTCCCAACTGCCGATGCTCCCCGGCTTGAGGCGACGATACCAATCGAAGGCCGCTCCGCGAAGAGTGCCAACGAATGACCGTACCATCAAGGGTTCGTTGCCGGAGATTGTTCCTAGGTGAGACTTGAAATAGATTAAATGTTGGGTAGGGGAACCCTTTCCATCAAACGGCGTAAAGTTAATGAGATTGAACTTTGCCGGATATGGAATTGATTCCCACTCCCTCGGATATGGACACGGTATACCTGACCTTTTTACCTCTTGAGCATTCATCAATGCATTGATTTTGCTCTCCAAGTCTTTCATCTTTTTGTCTTCACTCGTTTCTATTTTCGAGTGGTTTTGGGGAGAGGTAATGTGGTCTTCTTTGGCATTATCATCTACCGGACCACTTCCGTTGTCGTTGTTGACAGGGGGAATGATGACATTATTCCCTTCCCGTTCATTTTCTTCTTGGTTCTGATGATTGGGTCGAGTGGGCTCCTCTTGATGAGTTGTCAAAGCTGCGAGTTGCTGATCGTGCATCTCCCTCATCCGCTGTAGGGTCATTTCCATCTCGAATTTGAAAGCTTCTTTCTGCCGAGCTAGGGCGTCTTCAAGCATTTTGTTCATCTGCTCGGCACTGATCATGAGTACCTCGCGGGGTTGTCCCTCGCTGGATACCGTGTTGTCCGAAGCAATTGCGGAGCCGGCATCTGATGCTTCATCTTCTGATGGTAATCTCGTCCGAACCCTACCATAAGTCCCTCGTGTAATGGTTCCGGACTGTAGGTGAGTTAGATACCAGGGTACCAACGGGATTGACTCGGGATTGTCCCCTGTCGATGCTCCTTTGCTGGCCATGTTGATGGTGACCTTCGGGAATTCTCTGTCTTTGACTATCCTTCTTCTTCGCTGGAAACGCCTAGGCTTAGCTTCAGACGTTCCGGTGGAAATTCTGTCAAACACCGAAATTCTCCTTGGGGTTTGAGCACAGGAGCATTCTGATAGCACTGCCTTGATTATGTTGGCGCACGGGCAGCGAGACTCCATGTCCTGCACATACTTCTTTCGAGATTTCCCCATACCACCAGCTCTATAGTACAGCTCATCAGCTTGGTAACTGGAGCAACCTATAGAGTGTTGGCATGTGCTCCTTGGTAAAACACCATCATCCTCAGATGAGTGTGCTTCCCCTTTGGCATGGGATGTTTTGTTAGTTTTCTCAAAAGTGGCCCGTTCAAGTTTACGTTTTTGTGAACATAAAAATTGAACGGGCTCTTGTATTTCGACTCGCAATCCGATGCGGTCGGTGATAGGGGCTTTCCCTTTCTCATCTTTCGTGGGGGGATTAATTCGACCCCCAGTTTGATTTGAAACTTGGTGACCTTTCAATGGACCCAAGCGCTCCTTGATAGGTACTTTACCTCGATTCCCTGGTAAGGGACCGAGGCGACCTTTCACAGGAACCTTGGAGGTTGAAGGGTCTGTTTTCATACCTGACCCTACCGGAGGTGCCGGGGTAAGGGGAACAGGATTTGGCCTTGGTGAAGGTTGGGCAGCAACTTCTTTCACTCTTGTCTTGGGCGTTGGATTCGCCTTCAGCATCCACATTTGTTTGAGTTTTGGCGGAGTCTTGACCGCCTCTTCTTTCTGCATCTCCTCTGCTTTCTTCAAGAGAGCTCGGGCATGCGCAAGGAGTGCACGGCGCTTCCTGATTCTCTCTTCAAGAGTGGAGCGATTCCTTGTAACACGCACCCACTTGTTTGTTTCTGCTTGAGAGGAGGGGCTGGTTATGTACCTTCGTTGCTCTTGGCGTTGTCTTGCTTTGAGATCTTCGCTGTAGCGGACCCCATCCATAGGCTCCAAAGCCTTGGCCATTTGACGAGCAAGACGTTGACGCCGCCTTTGGAGTGCCCTCTTTGATACAGCTGGAGCGCCTTCAGTAGCCACCTTCTTAGGGGAGGAGCCCAGATCTGCGATCTTGACCACGTTGGGCGACGCGGAGACGCCACGTGGTGCAAGTGCTTCCTCGTGGGATCGATATCTTAAATACTATAACTTGACACGGTTGTGCACTTGCAACCTTTTTGGTACATGTTTATACCGCATCAAGTTTTTGGCTCTTTCCCACTGTGGTAACGTTATCATCAACTCAATGACAATAATATATTCATATTATTATTACGACGGCGTCGGTTGCGATGCCGTTGGCTCCCACTGTGGTCGCCAGCTTGTTTTCGGTGAAAGTCGCTGTTTTCATTGCTTTCGAAATCTGTTACAACTTCAAACGTTACAACAAGAATCGATAAAAAAAGGTCGGTCTTTTTATAAGACCTCCTTGTGCAACAAAACAAAGATTACAACTTTTCGAAAATAAACACGAGATCCCGTTTTGGTGCGGTCTCGCTTGCGTGGGTCTTTGGCCTGTGACGGGGATGTTGATATCCGTGGACCACCGGGGCAATCAGATCCGTTCCGGATAAATCGGACAGAGTTTCGTCGATCCGCGTGAGATCTAGAAACCTCCGGTCCAGAAATATCGGACAGAGCTTCGTCGATCCGCATGAGATCTAGAAGCTATAAGCGTATACCTCAGCTAAAACGAGGTAATAGCTCTTCTTAGTATCAACGCTAAAGGCCGATACTAAGGAAAAAAAAGGGGGAAAGGGTGATGAAGGCTGATGCCGACCTCTCTTCCTTGGTTGAAGCGCTCGATGACTCTTTGCT